AATTGATATGTACACTGCAGCCGGCAGGTACCTTACTAGTCTTTAATAAAATGATATGTTTTCATGTGATTGATAAATAAAGAAGATATATGTATTTGGGGACAATATACTTTTCTGCACTAATAAGCTAGGGTATATATGGCCAAAACGGATCTGACCCGGCTCGGGACGGGACCATTGGGATTGGTAAGGACTGAGACCGGACCGATAGGATCAGGACTGATTTAGGCCCTGTTCGAGACCAGATTTTGGCCATCTCTAGGCTAAATCAGTCCTATTAACATTGTTTTTTAGTAGCCTTAATCTTTTGGAAGTGGTCGATAACATTTTCCACTCATCTTCCGATGTTCTAATTTAGAGTGGGGTTTTCAACTCATTGCGATAATTTGAAGAAAGGGAAAAAATATCAGATAAAATTATAGAAGCCAAAAGTATAAGATGTAAAAATTATAGAATAAAAGGTCAAAAGTACCAGGAGGTCTCAGGTTCAAATCCAAGGAGAAATAAAAATCCCTTATGGTCACGGAGGTTCAAATGCGGTGACTTCAGGCTTTCTGCAAAGCAAGTGGTAGTCCTGGGATTAGTCGGCTCGCATAGCGGGTTGGATATCCAGATTAATAAAAAAAAATTATAGAATAACTTTACAAATATTAAGGAGTCATGAGTTTGACGAGTATTTCCTTTTTATAGAAAAAAAAAATATGAAAAAAGGCAATCTGTTGAAAGTGGGATTTTATCTCACGCTCTTTTAAAGGAGTGTCTTAGGCTTCGCTTAGCACACCAGACATATAGAATATGACATAACAGAATAAGGATCATTATTCCTTGTCTGACAGGACTTTAATGTGGAACAAACATAAATAAAATGAAACAAAGTGGAATAGGCGTGTTACACCCCTGTTCCATGGAACAAGGTGGAAACAGACTTATGTTTTACCAATAACCTCAAAACTAATAAAACCTAATTCTATTTTAAAACATCAAATATGTCTTCCTCTTTGTATTTTATTCATTATTTAAATTTTATTTATTGTATTTTATATTATTTAAACTTTTAATTTACCGTCCTCGTTATTTTTATGTGGTTTCTATATTTTGATTAATTTAGGTAATTTATTAAATATTAGTAGTTAAAAACATAGGGTTGGGCTGAGTTGAAACGATTCTAATCTAGTTCCAACTCAATACCTACGATTTAAAGATTTTTCAACTCGATTAAATATTGAGTTACTTTGGGTTAAGTTATTTCAGGATGGGTTGGTCGATGAATACAGTGACATACAAAAAGTAATATAATGACATCCTAACTTTTTCCCTATATAGTCGGACCATGAATGGGGGCACCAGACTTCATAATGTTCTTATGTAGGCCCGCCTCTGGATAAAGGTCATGCTAAATGAGTAATTGAGTGTCGACAATTTTATGTTTTTAAAGAGTATATTTTAAAATAGGGTTATGTTCAAGGGAAACTTGTAAAAAATGAAAAATTAAGAAACACTGTAATATTCATTCATCTATACGTATGCACATATATATACAATTAATTGATATGACATGTACATGTGCATAATATGCACACATGAATAGAAACTGCAGAGATGATTAGTTATTAAGATGATCATCAATTTATCATCTTTTTGGGGGGTTTCGCCTTAACCTTACTCTTTTTGTATATAACCTTAAATGAGATTTTAATTAAATAAATAACTTTTCATTAGCGTATGTCATTTTTTCTTTAGTAGATCATGAGATTGTGGATTTAATTGAAATCTAGGTCATATACCTAAATTAGCTTGAGTCCAAACATTTGGTTGGATTCCGGTGAGAAAGAGAGTTAAGATGAAAAGCGTAAGAAAAGATCCCCACCATTGGATGCACATTATGATGAGACGCACCGAGATGAGATGTACCAAGATGCACCAGATCAATCCCTGTATGAAACACAATTCATTGGTGGGTTTGAGATTAAAAGTTATCAATGGTCCATGTTTCTTTTTACGCTTCTCATTCTAACTTTCATTCTCACACGATCATTCGCACATTTTTTATAGAGATATAATAATCATTTTATAAATTATGTATTTTACTATTTAAAGTTTTGGATTAATTTTATAAAAATTCAAAATTTCATTTTTAATGGGATTAGGCACGGCAACGGGGGCGGGTTTGTAATCCCCGGCCCCTGTCCCCGATGGGTACGGGGATTAACATCCCATCCTCGATCAAACCCGGTCAAACCTCATAAAGAATATCCGTTAGTTTGAGTGTACCGAGGATTCTCGACCCCAATTTGAGTAACATCCCCCGGCTCCGCCCCATCCCCGGTTTCAGTCTATTTGGGATCTCCTGCCCCGGGACCCCTTTTAGCGAGGAATCCCCATTCCTTTTCGAATTGGGTGAACCAGGTTCCCCACCAGTTCAGAACAAATCACCATCCTTAAATGGGACAACCCTTGGAAAACCAAATCAAAGGTGAACTACCAATGTTTTAAATGACGTCAGAGATCAAGTCGTGGCTTTAGGAGCCATATGAAGTCACAAGTTTTCAAGGTGTGATTTAAGGTAAATATTACACATATGTATTATATGCATATAGAAAATATATAGATAGGGTTTAATCATTTTAAAATCTCATATATTATGATAAATGTGAAAACTATTATCATAAGATATTGTTTTACATGATTTTTCCCTTCTAAAATTATAATTTAATATATTGATTAACATATATTTGTTTGACAATGTGTTTATTTTATATATATTCAATTCACAATGTGAAACTTTTTTTGTTTTACAACTACATAAAAGATATTCACATTATGAAACAACTACATGTGTAATAAACACATTGTGAAACAAATATATGTTAATCAATACACTAATTAAAATCGTAGATGAAAAAAATCAAGTGAATTAACATATGATGCACCAGTTCTTAAGGTTATCACAATTTTACGGGTTGTCCAATAAAAACCCCCTAGATATATACATTCATACATGTTTATAATATTACTTAATGACATTAGACAATTTATATTCACATCAAAGACTAATCTAATACATTATACAACAAGTATAGAACTTGAAGGTAAAAAAATGTGTCTTGACGTCACACCATGGCAACGTAACACCTTAAACAATTGCTATTGAGGTTAAGGAGATGTGACATGCCTTTTAGAATACTCTGAATTACATAAAAGGACAATTATCGATGTCCTAAAAGTAGGGTTGCTCAAAAACCCGACCAACCCGATCAATTCAACCCAACCTAACGCAAAATAACCTAACCCGAAGCAACCCGATGTCTAATCGAGTTGTAAAATTGTCAAACCGTAGGTATTGAGTTGATATTGGGTTACTATTATTTGAACTCAACCCAACCCAATGAACCCGATATCATTTTATTTATTGGATTTAATATGATTGTTGAATTTCTATTAATATATATATACATTAGACAATTACATTATCATGTATGCTTTTCATATACACATATTTTCAATCTATTCATATCTCTATATAACTCATTCAGTAATTATGAACATATATATGTAAATTGAGAAAATTAACTGAATGTGATATACGTAAGAAATATGAATAAGTTGTATCAAATGGTTGATAATAAAAAGAAATTATGAGTAGAGAAATAACATATTCAAAGTTAGAAGAATATTTTAATATACCAAAGTATCAACCCGACCAACCCGTACGGGTTGGGTTGACTTTGGTTTGGGTTAGGTTGGGTTAAGATTTTTCCAAACCGCAAGCATTGGGTTGGGTTGTTCAAATGTCCTCAACCCGATCAACCTAACCCATGAGCACCCCTACCTAAAAGGATGTTGTAACCTAGTACCTAACAAACAATGCGCCTGATGATATCGCCACCATGCCTTGTACACCTTTTATCCCACTGCATTCGCTATCGTCAATGTTACTAAGCAAGATGAAAGCGCCACTATTCAAATTAGAATCATCTTTCATCCACATTACAATACTTATCGTTCTCTCAATAACAATTCAGCAACTATCAAATATGGTTCTAACAAAGTTTCCTTCTTTACGAGTAAGTCCGTACTATAATCTAGCATCCTCTCAAGTAAAAGCTTTCATCTTGCACGTAGCCCTAATCAGCGAAATTTGATGTCATCAACCTCATCAATCACCAAGTTAATCATGGACTTGTAAAATACACTGCGAGTTTAGTTATGTTTTGTGCTTTTATGCCATTGAAAATATTAAGGGTGCAACTCAGCTTGTTGGCATAACCTAACAAGATTGTGAATGGACATAAGCTTAGGGGGTGTTTGAGATTGCTTATTTAAAGCAACTTATGTTTTTTTATAAAAGTGTTTATCAGCTTATGTGGTGTCAAACCAGAGTTTTATAAACTGTTTGAATTAGCTTATAGCGGTACCGAAACGTATTAAGCTGATAAATATTTTTTTTCCCCAATCTAAACATTAAAAACTTCTTATCATTGATAATACATCAAAATACGTTAATAAACACTTAAATAATTATCTAAAATATAATTATGGTTTTGTACAATGTCCGAGCATATTACTAGGAGTTACACATTTTCGGCAACCAAAAACTTGTTTTAAAATGGAAATCGTAATATTGTTGTTAAAGACAGCCATGATTGGAAATTGGCTTATGATTTTTTATTTTATAATTTTGAATTATAAATACTAGTCTCATGAGGTTTCTTCTACTCATTGTCTCCACATCTCTCCATACGCTACACAGATTCTATCTTCCCTTTCTCGTGACTAAAATTAATGGTCAGTAACTTTTCAAACGCCATGTTTCCCCTAATCCAGATGTATTACATACGAATATGAATATTCATCGTTTGATCCAAGTAACCTTATCTGTTCGTTTTTGCAGAAACTGAAGTACAACAATCAATCGTTTGATCGAGCAGCTTTAAATCTAGAAGGTACGGATTGATTGAAGTAGATGATCAATCGATTGTAGTGCTGATCGATTAAACCAGATGAGGAGCGAGATCGTGCGGAAGACTACGACGGCGGAGGAGGAGGTGGAGAGAAAAGATGAGAGGCGGAGGAAGGCGGAGGAGGAGGAAGATGAGTACGTAGTGGAGGATGTTAGAGATCACGGGAGTTTAGAGAAACGACGGAGTGTGTTCACATTGTTGGCTTGGGACATGGGGATGGATTCAACTCACAGGGGTTTCAACAGAGACAAAGTCATCGATGGCATCAAAGGCTTCTCTCATGGTCTGTTCATCCATCCACGAAACAGGTTTCCTTCTAACTTTCTCTAAACCCTCATTTTGTGTGTGCATAAATCTGCGTGGACACGTGGCAGTAAATGATAGGGAAATCTAGAAGTCGTCAATCGGGTTTCCGAGAATCATGGCCGTTCCCTAATTCTATGGAAAAGCAAGATGAATCAAACACAGACGAATTTAATAAAGCTAAACTTTTTAATACTACTGGTCGTATCTTAAAACCACATGAAACCCGACGGTACAAAAAAGTTTGTTTCGATGAGAAAGAAATTTATGGTCAGAAACATAAAGAAAAGATCTTTAAACTTAAATTAATGTTAATTGAATATCAATACTAATAAGGTGTATTGAGATAGAAAACAATTAATGAAAACCATTTATTAATTGACTTTGATCTAAATGATAAGAGACGGTGCACTTTACCCGTGATGCATATATCCTCACCATTAAATAAAATAAAGAAAACTGTGATTCAATTCCTTTTGGGTCCCACACTTTTTGAGATGCACAGATCATCCTGCTACATATTCTGGGGTGGTTCCTCCGATAGTAAAATATTTCGCAAACCAATTTATGAAGCTCTTAATTTTATCGTTGTAGATGCTCATCACGAACAATATTTGATAGACATATAGGTAAATTTGAATAAAAGATTATTAAAAGGGAATTAATGAAATATTGGATTTATCGTGTTTTTTCAAGTTGGTGATGTTTATAAAAACAACTAGTCGACATACATCCATCTTTCAAATCCCATCCTCAAATAAATGGAAATTGACCAAAACAGCTAATCTTCCTAACCGATACAAATTTTAGCCATTTTGTTAATTGAATTTCAATTTTAGTTAAAGTTCACGTAAATGTGATAATTTTTAGATTAAAAAGAAAAAAAAATCTTCACATAAATCAACGTAATTTTTTCTTCTTAAATATGAAAATAGGCTTTGTAAGAATGCATAAAACATTTATACAAACTTCAGTTAAAAATGAATTTGATTGAGAAGATTGTTTATTTGATCAATTTCCCCCAATAAATATACATATTATATTGTATTTATTTATTCATATAAAAGCTTGATGTTTGATTTTATCAAATATATTTATTGTAACAATATTAGTCATAAATTTAAAATTTAAACAACAAAAATAAAGAAAGATGTGGAAAAGTGAAAAAAAATATCTACGAATTGTAATGGACAAAAAGTCGTAGTCGTAGGTATGAAGTCGGAATTATTTTAACAAGTCAAACATACAAATTGTGATGATTATACACCCTTTATCGTCCACATTTTGTTTTGATATTGTGCCGTGCCACCCTTTACATTTGTTGTATATTATATTTTCTTTGTATCAATAAAAAATTATACTCATTTGCATCTTGTAGTAGAAACATCATCTTTTTACAATAATATATCTTTTATCTCTCAAGATGCTTACCAAATAAACATTTTAATGTGTTTTAGAATATAATTTAAAATACATATATTTAATAATTTGAATCAAGAAAATATTTATTGTGATAATATTGGTGTAGAGGGTAGAGCAAATAGAAACCGTCTATATTATACCCTATGAACTAATATAGACCATATATGTTTCACTTTCTTAAATGTCTTATCAAATGTTTCCTAAAACCTCATTTTTCCCCGTTTAAAATTACCCTGTCAATGTAATGTTTTATTGATGAAACGAAACTGTACCAAAAAAAGACCATCTCCATGTGTTGTTTCATTGGTGAAACAACACTACATTATCAAAATGGATTAGTACAAATCAACCAAATGTTGTTTCATTAGTGAAACAACATTACTATTGTCTTAAAAGCATAACAAAATGAGTTTTTTAAGAAAACAATTGATAAGACAATAAAGATAATGAATAAGATAATTATAAAAGTTAAATATGTATTATTAATATTAGTTCATAGAGTTTTTAACTTATATGTATTTTTATACGATTTTGACCTACTTATGTAATAATATAAATAAAATATTGCTTGCAGTTACAATAAAATAAAATAAAAATTATTTTAACAAAATAGACGTTATATATACACATATTATATATATATATATATATATCATGAGATAATGCGAAAAAGATTATATATACAACGATTATAAGAAAAAAATTATATATATACAACAATTATAATATTGCGAACAAAAACAAATGATATTAATATATTTGCTACGATGAGTAATGTGTGATTTTAGCATAGAACTTCTCTAAAAATATGTGTCTATCCTATTGCAAAGCACACACAAAGACAGCTGCCCGACATGGGAGCCTCTCCGTGATTAGCATGTGTCATATATACAACATAAAGAACATGGGTTGATCCAACTACACCCTGGTTCGATGTTGATGCTATTCTGTAATTTAATAAATTAATTGGATAATATTTTTAATAAATTAGTCAAATAATCTATGAGTCGGAATCAGTTTTTTTTTTCCTTCCTGTTTTGTGCCTATAGAACTGACATGAACACCTTTATGTGTAGAAATTTTTCTAGGCACAAAAGTTAGGGGTAGTTTATTAAACACATACCTAGTAAGTGTTTACCAGTCGGGTAAAATTTTAGTCTACAAAAACGGTATCATATGTAACAATTTATTCGGTGAGCGCTTATCGTGGCAAAGGTCGTCGGTCTCACTTACCGAGCAAGACTCTTGGTCCCTAACTCGCTCTTACCGGGTAAGATTCTAGGTCCTTACCATATTATCCGATAAGGTAATATGACTTGGTGTTCACCTACCCAAGTAAGGGTTTGAGAAACGGCCCCTTAATCAACTTTGTAATCAAAGTCATTTATTTATCATCATCATCATTATTAATAAATTGAGTAAACTACAAATTTGGTCCCTATGGTTTGTCAAAAGTAACAACTTTTTGTCCTTGTTTCGACATTATAAGATGACCATCATGGTTTGCAAAAACGTCTGGATTTGGTTCTTTTTTCTAACGACCTTAAAAGTTCCATTAAATGAAGAATATTTTTGTCCTTTTATTGATTTTTTTTGTCTTTTACCCAATCAAAACCACATAGACCAAAATCATAAAATTGATTTTGATTGGTTAAATGACAAAAAATGGATAAAATTATGAAAATGTTTCTCATTTAATGTAAATTTTTAACGGCCTTTAAAGGAAAATATTAAATCGAACGTTTTCACAAACCATAATGATCATTATAATTGCAGTGATGAAAAATATGACAAGCAACATAAACCAAATTTGTAGTTCACTCTAAATAAATTAAAAATACTTTGATTTACTTGTAGAAATTTCCTTAGATATTTGATAAATAACTAATTTTAAATTATATGTGGAGTCAAACATAACAAATTCGGAAGAGGACTATGGGAGTGTTTAATATTTAGTGGTATCTCAGAATAAAGATTCGCTGCACACCCCCACAACTCTTCCTCGACTCTTGTCCACGTGCATTCTATTAGTTTTTTACTTTCTCATGACAAAAATTAAAAACAAAATTAAAATTTGAAATTAGACCAAAAAAATCATATTATTTGGCATTTTTTATAATTCTTTTTGGTGAACTATTGTATTTTAAGCCATTGGTTTAAAAATAAATTTTCAAGACTAGTAGTAATTGACATGTTTTCATATGTGTGAAACAAATGATTTATATTAAATTGGTAAATAAATACAAAAATATTTCAATGTAAAAAGTTTATTTCAAATTTGTTATAAGTAATCAATCGTCAATACAAAGATGTATATATTAATGATAATAAATTTATAAAAAATGTAAAATTCTTGATACAAATCTATAATATAAGCATAAATCAACAATAACAAAGATAGAATCCAAGAATTGTATTTGTAATTAACAAATTCTTCGTGAAAATAGAACGGATTGAAGCCTGCAAAATCGTAGTGTCCTAAGACAAAATATCGCCGGTGGATTGGACGTTTGTCTAGAGGATACAACAAAATTTTCAAGTTTCGTACTTGAAGCTTGCGAATTAAACGATGTTTTGATGATGGATCATTTAGAGAGAAACCCAGAAAAACGGCACACAACAATCCAAGGCCCAAGACTCTATCTTTGATATTTAATATGTAATGTCATTTGCAAAGCCCAAGCACCACATGAAACCTAAGTTCATGTCACGCCTTAATTCATTTAAAGCTCAAGCACTAAGCTTTATTAAGTGAGTTCCATTTCCTCTTGCCTCCTAAGGTTTTCATAGTAAACCAACTTCCAACAAATTTAGAATATTATTATCAAATAAGTTGTATATGAACTAATTAAATATATTTAGTTATAATTTTTAAATGGAATTTGAGGGTGGGCATGGCACTCCGAACCCTTAGTGCTTCGTCTATGTTCATCATGAATTTGTAATTCATGATAAATAACAATAACATGTCCATAACACGCATACATTCATCATGACTGTGTGATTCATGATGAATAACACTTCCATATTCATCATGAATGTGTTATTCATGATGAATATTCATCTTGAATAGGGATACGTCATGCGTTATGGGTGGCTCCCTAGTACGTAATCAGTTTTGCAAAAAAAAAAAATGTACGTGTGGTTCATTGTGTAACTAGATACTAAAACGGGATGCTAGTTTGGCAGATATGTGTTTAGTTTTGTCTTTTGTGTCACAATGTCAATGGCCAAATTGCGACTTCGATAGCTCACAGGATGTGTCTCGGGGCTGCTATTCTGTTTCCAGTGTAAAACTCGACAGACACACGCCTAACTACATGCTAGTACGATGTATAGTGAATACAGGGTCTGGCTAGCACACATGATGAGTCACATTGGTGTTAGTCTGGTGCCAGCTAAATTCGTTAGGTCCAGCTACCTTCAATGTTGAGATATTAATTCAAAAGTTTACATTTTGATATACAAATCGTCTACATGTCATTTGATGCAATATGGTATATTTGCACATAGAACAAAGTTTCACGTTAAAGGGCTTTTGGCCTAGCTGTATCCGATAACCCACCAGTCTAAAGGTCAATGTTCCAGCCTTGGTTGGTGAGACGTGGGCTTGAGTTTCATTTGCCGTATATATTTTATCTACTTAGAAAAACACACTTGAGTATGTTATATATGCATATGTCTCGTATAAATGATATAACACATCAGCATCGTTAAGGGGATAAAAGTAGGCCTTATTGTGCCCATATAAGAAATTTCATGGAACAAAAACATAAGATTTGTCCCTTTTCAAGGGAGATGAATCTGAAAAAGACTACCCTTGTAGAGTAAATGGTGAAATGAAAGTTAAATTCTTATGGAGTTGGCTAGCTGTGTTATTCAGTATTGGTGATTTTGACAAGTTATCCCTTGATGGAAATCAGAATGTCATAAAATATAATGTAATTAATATGATTATGCCAGTTGAAATAAATAATAAACAAAATGCAAACTTTTCATTGCTTTATATTGTCTAAGAATAACATGCAATAAGTATTCTATGATGCAGATGGTACCGGGCTTGGGAGAAGTTCATATTAATATGGGCAGTGTATTCCTCTTTCTTCACACCTATGGAATTTGGGTTCTTCAGGGGATTGCCCAATCATCTCTATTTATTAGATATTTTTGGTCAGACGGCCTTCTTCATCGACGTTTTCCTTCAGTTCTTTGTTGCTTACAGAGACAGTCTGACTTACAAGATGATCTTTAACCGAAACCTCATTGCTATTCGGTCAGTTTCATCCTCCAAATGAAAATTTCATCAACTATTTGCTTCCATCGAAATACTAACTTAAGCTCTTAGTGGGTCAGTCTCTTCTTATTAATAGATCATACAGTCATATAGAATGGAACCCGAAAATAAATGTTCAATCTTATTGTTGTTTCACATTTCAGTATGTAACTTTAATCCTTCCATTCACATTTGTTGTTGCAGGTACCTGAAATCTCATTTCATTTTTGATTTACTTGCCTGCATGCCTTGGGATAATATTTATAGGGTATCACTCCAAACTCCATATAAATGTAGAAAGTGTTTTTTAGTTAATAATGCTCATAGGATCATATTGGTGCATGCTTTGTGTTCAATTTGCTAAGTTCATTACATGGATGGGAAAACCACATCATGCTTTTCAGTCAAGTTTTCTTGATTAAATTCTTTCCATTATGAATGAGACTTCATCTGTGTTAATCAGGCTTCTGGGAGAAAAGAAGAAGTGAGATACCTTTTACTGATAAGGTTGGTGCGGGCACGAAAGGTTCTTGACTTTTTCTCCAAGTTGGAGAAGGACATACGGGTCAAGTATTTGTTTTCGAGGATTATAAAACTTATTGCTGTTGAGCTGTACTGCACACATACGGCAGCATGCATATTTTATTATTTGGCTACAACTCTACCCGCTATTGAAGAAGGATACACATGGATTGGCAGCCTGAAACTTGGTGATTATAGCTACTCAAACTTCAGAGACATTGATCTTTGGAACCGCTATGTAACATCCTTATATTTTGCAATTGCTACTATGGCAACAGTGGGTAAGTTCCTTCATTTCAAGGGAACTCTTTCAATGATGTTCTAAGATTTCACTTAAATCATCCACATACAAGGAATCTATCAGGCATTATTTGGGTTTTTTAATTGCTAGTTGGTTTTTATGCTTTTAGTTTAGTTCTAGTTTGTATGATGTTAGAAGCAGAAAAAATGATAGGATCTCTGTTCTTGGTGGCGGATTAAGATTGTAGAATTGTTCCATTTGGAGAGAGTGTATACATCCTTGTTGCTCCTTGTTGTTTTTGGTTTATTGACATATAGTGTGAATGCTGAATGAATTTGAACATCTTTCTACAGGTTATGGTGATATTCATGCAGTCAATTTGAGAGAGATGATATTTGTAATGATTTACGTCTCATTTGACATGGTTCTTGGTGCTTATTTGATTGGTAACATGACAGCTTTAATTGTGAAAGGATCAAAGACAGAACGATACAGGGATAAAATGACTGATCTCCTTAAATATATGGACAGAAATAGACTAGGGAGAGACTTACGCAATGAAATAACAAGTCACTTGCGGTTACAATATGACAGCAACTACACTGATTCTGCTGTCATTGAAGACCTTCCAAGCTCTATCCGTGCCCAGGTACAGAAAGGAGAAATCTGCTTAACTCAGACATATGCGATATAATTGCAGTTCTTTAATGCCAAATGTACACATTGTTTAGTGTTTTTTTTTGCTTTTCTTTTGAATAATTGTGCTATGAAACACCTTTACCCCAACTAGTCCACATAGGCCCGATCCAGACATTTTATAGGCCCTTATTGTAAAGAAGGGACTCAACGAATATGATGAAAATCTTACAACCGATGTGTTTCATCATCAAAAATTAAACCCAATACTAGAAAGCGGTCTTCTATTCTATATGTCAAGACATAGCATATTGCATTAGTTTGAACATATTTCATGATCCAACATATAACATATGTTAATTCCTATGTTCCATTTTTAATATATCGGTAACAACTAAAAACACTCAACACATGTATATGGGTATGTATATATGGAGCTATAGCAAATGCATGTGGGCCTGTTAGAATATGAATACATGATTTGCAATAGGAAATGCAATATAAACCCTTTAGTAACTTGTAGATAGTAGAAATATATGATTTGCAATAGAAACTCTATTTTGTTTTGTTATTTTGAGGGTTGTGTAATGCATTAACAACAAATAGCATAAGCTTATGTATCTTAAAGGTTCTATAATGTTATTCATGATCGCTAAAACCTTGATTTCCTAGAAGAGTTTATTTCTATCTGTTACATACTTTGAAACATTGGTTAGTTTAGACTCACATTTAAGATCAAAATAAAAGCCTGTGTAAAGACCGGTGTGATATCATAGCTGTTAAGGCCTCTTCTTTCTCTGTGCAAGCTTAGACAATCAATCTCCCAATCCCGTCATTCTCATTTAATTAGAAATGAAAGTTTGTGGATTGTGGAGTACCCCCAAGAAATGAATTTTCAATTTAAAACTTTTAGATGCAAATAGTTACAGCAAGAGGTCATCGCTATTGGCTGACAAGTGCACTGCTGGTACATTCCTACATACATTACCAAATAGATAGTCTGAAAACAAGTAACAAGTTGCTAACCAAATGACAAGTTCCTGATACAAATAGAAGTCAACAAGACAAAGCCGTTAAGAACAGCTGCTGAATTTTACAATCGAATCACATTAAAAACGCAAAATAATAGACAAATCTGTGATATTTAGCATGCATTATAGTCAATTCATTGTTTCTGCTTTCAAGAAGTATTTAAGTTTTTTACTTTGCTTTCTAGGAAAGTGAACCTGTGAAGGGTCGTGGAACTTTTAATTCATCATGTTTTATATATTTTTAAATAGATACTACTAGTGAAAAAAACTGGTCCCCTATTCCTGTTGTCCCTGGCAAGTAACCCTCTCGTGCTTGCCAAACGGCCCTGACTCCATGGGGTCCAAGGCCAATCTAAATGGCCTGGACAGACTTCACATCTTCTGGCGGGTGGTGTGTGCACGGGAGTTGATAACACAGTCAAACCTGAGGCTTGATGCTTCATGAGACACCAACTCTTAGGGGCTGTTTGGTTGGTTTTCCATTAAGTCTTGTATGGATAAAGCTGTGTGTGTGGATTAATCTGTCTATATAGATTGGGAAGGTTTTTGTTTGGAAGAGTTTTTTTCATAGATGAAAGGAGCGTGTTTTTTAATTGGAAGGGGTAGGTTTGGAAAAACTTGGCTTTCTGCATAAAGCTTCCCTCTAGAAGCTTACTGAATAAGCTACTTTCTATATCATTAAGCCACTACCAAACAGTCATGTATAGCTTGACAGCTGTGAGTCCCATTAAGCTCATTAAGCTACTAACAAACAGGGCCTTGGTGACTTTGCCACTAGGCACTAGGCCAACCTCTCAGGGTTTCATTGTTTAGTGTATGATCGAAGCATTATCTGAAATACTAAACAATGTCGTCATTTCTTGCAGATATCTGAAACTCTCTATAAGTCATACATTGAAAAGGTTTCTCTTTTCAGGGGATGCTCTTCGGAATTCACCAATCACATTGTAAGTCATTTTTGAGGTCATTCTAGATACTAGGAAACTCTTGGATACCATGGAAACATCTGAAATGAGCTGCTTTTCCAATCTTATAAGCATGAGAATTTTCACATTAGTAGCTTCTTTGGTATATTGCAATTTGTGTTCTCTTACTGCTTGTTAATGGGATTTATTATACTGAAAAACTACTAACGGAATGCAGTTTGATAACTAAAACACCAAGTAGGAAAAGTTATATAGCTCAAAAATTGTTTTGCGAAGTCCTTTCTTTATTTTTCTGGATGTCTAGATCTTTCTCCTTGATGCATTGACTATGATAAATGACGTTTGCATTCCAACTAAATTGGCAACTTTCTTGACTAGGACTAGAGTATTTGCTTATGGAATTGTAGGCTTAATGTTCTAACATCTGAGGAGCCAAAGATCTCTGAGGAGAAAAGATCTAACAAATATATTTTGTTTGCTTGGATTGCACTCCTAGTTTGCAATTGTGGTGCTTGTTTTGTTTCCTTGTGCATATATAAATCGAAATCTATTCTCGAGCCTCTGACACCCATCATCAGGACTCAGGAGCTTTTATATGTCTCATGGTTTTACTAATTGCTCCGCTGCTTGCCCCAGATGATAACATCCACAAAAATCAACTTGGCACTCTATATGTTGATAATATATGCATCTTAATGGGCTGTCTGCTTGCAGGTAACTAGAGTGCACGAAGAGTTTTTTCTTCCAGGGGAAATAATAATGGAACAAGGGATTGTGGTTGATCAACTTTATTTCATATGTCATGGCAAGCTGGTATAACTTCCTACTATATGATGTTCTTGTTTCCTCGAATTCAAGTCTTTGTCTGCTTCATTACGTCATTGGTTTTGGATTGTTATGTGAAATTAACCCTTGTAGACATCAACATTATCAAATGGTCATTTGATTCTTCATTTAGCATAAAAGATTAATCTCACTAGTACAGCAACTTCCTAGACAAAAACAATTTGTATCTAGACATGCTCCCATAAATTTAAGGGGTCCTTTGGTTAAATGACCTTCAGAGAAGTTCTTTTTAAATCTACGACCTTCTGACAGATTTTGAGAATGTCATTGCTTAACAAAAGGATGTCACTTCCATACATAAGAATACCATAAACTTATCAGAAAGTCATGGATTTAAAAATCATTTGTCAGGAGGTCATTTAGCTAATCCAAATTTAAGAGGCTTCATGAACTGCATATCAACTATTTAAGCATGCTGCCTATATTCCTCCCCTCTTGATGCCACAAGGGAAAAGAATCTTGGAGTAGTTATGGCCAAAGGAGAATTTGTTTTGCTAATGAATGTTAAGGAAATCATAAACCTGATTTGCTACTCTAGCTAGTTTTCACTATCCACAATGTTATAGCTTTTTCATGAACGATTTTCCAAAAGGTGGGGCCCACAAGCTTAGGTGGCTAAGAAAAGACTTATTATGAGGTTGTGCAGTTACAAATAAAAAGAATATTTTTGGTTGTCAGGGCTTTTTCACAATATGAGGTGGCTAGAAAGCTTTTCAATAAGCTCTCAGAAAGCCTCCATTGTGGATACACTTAGGTTATGCCACGATTTTAGAAACTCTACAAGATTGATGGATCAAATTTGGTACAGGAAGAGGTTGTTGTATGTGAAGATGGATCAGAAGAAACAGTATCAACTCTAAAACCTCACGACTCTTTTGGAGATGTTTCCACTCTATGCAACATTCCCCAGCCATACACAGTTCGAGTTAATGACCTTTGTCGACTTTTGCGGCTTGATAAACAATCTTTCTCTAATATCCTTGAGATATATTTTCAAGATGGACGAAAGATTCTGAACAATCTACTAGAGGTGATAACTTAATGTACTATACTTGATCACTGTTTTTGGATTAAATATCCCCATTGTTTCTTATTGGTTATCTTGGGTTCTTGCATAAGCAGTCTAAACTAACATATGATATGCTGGCAGGGTAAAGAAAGTGATAGTCGCATGAAGCATTTGGTGACAGATATCACAGCTCATATTGGAATGCAAGAGGCAGAACTTGCACTGAGGGTCAATAGTTCAGCCTATAATGGAGATTTAACTCAGCTAAAAAGCTTACTTCGAGCTGGAGCTGATCCAAACAAGAAAGATTATGATGGAAGATCACCACTGGTATGTTTTTTTATCTAAAAGAAAAGAGTGAGTGGCATAAAACTTGCTATGTTTTGACTCGGACTTGGTTCACAATTGTGAGAATATGTGGAACCCCCATTTTTACTCTCCAAAAGAGCTCCTGAGGAGAGAAGCGAGCTTCCAACATATATGGAGGAGAAATGGTCCAAGTCCATCTGGTGTGGAACTCTAACGGCCCCCTCCAACATAGGCTAGATGGGCACAAATTGTCCCAGATTATCTTGCTAATTTGAGTTATACTTCTCTGATTATAACATTACCATATAACAAACAATCTAACATCTCCTAAGATTTTAGCAAAATCAAACTTGAAGCTAGATCAACATTGCTCTTAGTTTGAACACAAGTGGTTATTCGTCTAAAGTTCTTTGTCATTTCTTTTGATCTATCCCTCTTTGATTGGTGCTTGAATTCCCTGTATGCAAGTAAGGTCACCATTCTGAGACCAGGGCGGACCCACTATAGTGCATACGGTGGCACCGGCCATCGTCATAGTGTGAAAAATTTTAGGGTCGTGAAAGGTGTCATCGTCTTATATGGTTTGTGCAACCATATATTCCTTGAAACTACATAATAACCCAAAGTTTCTATTGGTAGAGTTGGTTTGCATAGTTTTTTCTCCCCTTCTAGACCCGGGTTCGAATCCCATTTGTACCATTTTCTTAGTTTTTAGCTTTTAATTTTAGGTTTATTATGTTTCGGATAAAAGACTCGAACACAGGACCACACATACAAAAAGCTAGGAACTAACCAACAGATCAATGATAATTTTGTATAAGATACCCATAGCTTCGTTTTTTATAATCAAATGGTGCCACCACTTGAAAAAGATTCTAGGTCCGCCTTTGTCTAAGACATCCTTGTATTGAACCTTTCATATCATGCTTCGATAACTCTAGTAAGTGTATATAATAGAAAAGAGACAAGAAAGATGTTTGGTTTTTAACAAGTTCTTGGCATGAACAGCATCTTGCTGCATCAAAAGGACACAAAGATGTCACTGTTTTCCTTATTCAAGAAGGCGGAGAAGTTAACATTTCAGGTAAACTTTCTTCCCTTTTGAATTTAGATTCTGGTGCTTGAATTTTCTGGTCTTTTTGAATTGATCTACTTCATTTCATCTTACTGGAAGATAACTTTGGAAACACACCGTTACTAGAAGCCATCAAGAACGGACATGATAACATTGCTTCCTTACTAGTCAAAGAAGGGGGATCATTGAAGATAGATGATGCAGGTAGTTTCTTGTGTTCATCTGTGGCAAGAGGGGACATAGATTTTATCAGACGGATCCTGTCAAATGGTATCGATCCAAACTCAAAAGATTATGACTTCCGAACTCCACTTCATGTCGCCACCTCACAAGGATCTTATATAATAGCAAAGTTGCTAGTTGAAGCTGGGGCTAGTGTTCTGTCAAAGGACAGGTAGAACTTTGTGATCATCATGTTATATATTGATGGATTGAAGTATCTGAATATGATAAAAAAATCCTTCACAAATCACAAGTGTGAGAATAAGATTACTCTTCAAAAGAGCCCTTGAGGAAAGGGGGGGGGGGTTCCAACATATATGGAAGAGAAATGGTCCAAGTCTAAGCCAATGCCCACCCCAACTGACAGAGTATCGAGTCCCTATAATGGTAGACCCTCCCTCCGATACCACGTGAGAATATGTGGAAGCCCATTAAATTGCTCTCCGAAAGAAGCCCTTGAGGAGAGATGGAGGTTCCAACATATGCAGAGGAGAAATGGTCCAAGTTTAGCCAATGTGGGACTCTAACAAGAAGGACCTTTTATTGAGTCCATGAAGTCGAACATATACAACACATCTATTTCCTCCCGTATCATAAAACAATTAACAAAATTTATGCTCTGAATGCGCAGATGGGGTAACACACCTCTTGATGAAGCCAAATTATGTGGAAACAAGATATTGATCAAACTATTGGAAGAAGCCAAATCGTTTCAGATGTCAGAATTCCCTTCATGCTCTCAAGGACCAACAGGTATTAAAAGTTCTTGACTTGCCCATCTTAGAGTGTATATGTAGAACCCCATTAGATTACTCTCTAAAAGAGTCCTTAAGAAGGGAGGTTCCAACATATATTGAAGAGAACTGGTCCAAGTCTAAGCCGATGTAGGAATCTAACAAACCCTCTTCAACGGAGGCTAGACAGGCACACATTGGCACATAGTGTCGAAAGGGGGCATAGACAAGTACAGGTTTCCCGAGTGTGTCTCTCTTTCGAGTGGTAAACCTTAGCTCTTATACCATGTGAGAATACTTGGAAGTTCATTAGATTACTCTCAAAAAGAGCCCTTGAAGAGAGAAGGGAGGTTCCTACATATATCAAGGAGAACTAATCCAAGTATGGTTGATGTGGGACTCCAATATGATTGAACCATCAGCTTGAATGTCACTTCCTTTTTAGAACTTTTTAAGTTTTTCCTTCGATCAATCATACTATAGAACTCAACGTTTGCGTAATTCAGACAAGAAGCTAAAGGTAGCTAACGATGGATTTAATGGCGTTCAGTGACAGATAAAACAACACGAAAGAAATGTACCATATATCCATTTGAGCCATGGGAGCCAAAGGATCAAAACAAATATGGAGTTGTATTATGGATTCCAGACACCATTGATGAGCTTATGAAATCAGCAGCAAATCATTTGATGTTGGAGGTTTCTTCCACTCGTTGTATCATAACAGAAGATGCAGGTAAAATTGTTGATGTGGATATGATTACAGATGGGCAAAAGCTCTACTTAATCACTATTGAAGCTTGACTTATATGTATAATCTTCATCATGTGATGATGCAAATTTTGCCAAGTCTGTGAGATCATCATTGTATATTGTTCTCCATTCATATGTTATTGTTATCGTCAATGTAAGGTTGCGTGTAAAAAATCATCTGATCCAATTAATTACAACCTACGGACCAAAATTGGATCCAAGATTTCAATATCTAAATTGGATCCATTTGTTGTTGGATAACAGTTCAAATCCAATAAACCTGAACCAATATAAACCAATTATGATACAAGTATCGAGGATGAAAAATTTATTTTTATGCATTATTTATATTTGGTTTATGAAACTTGTTCTTTTCCTCTTTCTGATATATGTGTAAACTCGAGAGAGAGAGAGAGAGAGAGAGAGAGAGAGAGAGAGAGAGAGAGAGAGAGAGAGAGAGAGAGAGAGAGAGAGAGAGAGAGAAA